CCCCATTGACCCCAATGGAGCTACGGCCAGTTCCCCCCAGCTGGGATCTGCCCCATTGACCCCAATGGAGCTACGGCCAGTTCCCCCCAGCTGGGATCTGCCCCATTGACCCCAGTGGAGCTACGGCCACTTCCCCCCAGCTGGGATCTGCCCCATTGACCCCAGTGGAGCTACGGCTAGTTCCCCCTAGCTGGGATCTGCCCCATTGACCCCAGTGGAGCTACGGCCAGTTCCCCCCAGCTGGGATCTGGAGTCAGATCACTCCCGGGCGCAGGGGTCTGTAGAATCAGCCGCTCCCCCACCCCCGGCCCAGGCTGGCCCATCTCCAGTGCTATCCCGGCTCCAGTCAGATTCTCCCCCCGTTCCCCGCCCTGGGGTGGCAGCCCCCACCCTGCCCCTTTGCTGTGACTCGGAGCCCATGTGGGCGAGGGGGGGAATTTTGGTACCTTGGTTCCGGGCTGGGGATGGGACACCCACATGCCCCTTCTGGGGCCACAGGTTCAGTGCTGGGGACCCTCCTCGTCCTGCATCGTGCCGGAGAGAGAGGAAACCTGGAGAGGGGGGTGGGTGCAGGGAGGAGCTGTGGGGCAGGTGCTGGGGGGAGGGCAGCGAGGGGCAGTGGTGTGAGATTACAGGAAGCTGCAGCTGGGGGGCGGGGGAGAGAAGCTGGTCACAGCTTCCGGCCTCAGGGGCTCGCTGCTGCCGCAGAAGTCGGCACAGGAGCGCAGGGGCTGGTCACAGCCAGTGATGGTCGCCCCCGTCCCACCCTGATGCAGCCTGCAGCCGCCCTGATGCCAGGGTGAGGGGCACAGCCTGTCTATGGCTATTCTGGCCCTGGACATTTCACCCCCTGCTGGGTGACACAGGGAGGTGTCATGGCCCCCCTGACCGGCGGGTGGCGTTTGGCGCCGGGATCCCATGCAAATTGTCGCTCCGGAGTCACACACCCCGTGCTCTCCCCTTCCCCATGGCGGGCTGCCACCTAGGGGCGCAGCCAGAAACTGCAGGCCCAGGAGGGGATCGGTCTCACCCCAGCGCTCTGAGCTGTTTCCCTCTGGCTATAAGGGGTTTTCAGGCACTCGCTGGGCCCGATCCTGGGCTGGGGTCGATCAGTGGGACTGATTCTGAGCGGCACCTGCTGAGGCTCTGACCCTGTCCACAGAGCTCAGATTTTTGACACTACGCCCCTCACCCTGGTGTCAGGGCAGCGGATCCCCCTCAGAGAGTGGAGGATGGGGGTGTCCGGGGCTGGCTGGGAGCTTTCGCGTGACAGAGCCAACATCTGCCAGAGCAGAGAGAGGAAATTCAGGACGGATCCTCTGACCACGGCCCCCCCAACCACAGGGCTGCAGCCCAGCGACTCAGCTTCCTGTGTGATCTCAGCCCAGCCCCTCACCCCTGCCTGCGTCTTCGCCGCCTCCTCTCACTCGGGCACGATGGAGGACGAGGAGGGCTACACGGCTTTGAACCTGCGTCCCAAGCGTGGCAGATCGGATGGCCCGTCCCCAGGGGGGAACCAAGGTAGCGATTTCAACCCCCTGCTTCCCACCTATGGGCTCCATGTCCCCCCAGAGACAGGCCAGGGGACGGCAGAGTCTGGCCATGTGGTTATATCACAGGGTGGGGGAGCGCCGCGAACAGAGGTAAAGAGCGTGGGGCATCCCCCAAGTGACAGAGCGAGAGTGGGAGCGCTCACGGGGAGCTTTCCCCTCTGGAAGCCAAAAAGGTGAGTCAATGGGGGAAACTGAGGCACAGACAAGGGAAAAAATCTTTCACTAGTCCCCATTCCCCTCCCTTAGCTGGCACTAGAGCCCAGGTGTTGTGGCTCCCAGCCCCTTCTGCTCTGACCCACTAGACCCCACTGCCCTCCCAGGGTTGAGATTATAACAGAGGAGTCCGAGCTCCCACTCACATCCTGCTCTAACCACCAGACCTTACTCCCCTCCCAGAGCCAGCGGTAGAACCCAGGCGTCCTGGGCCCCAGCCCCCGCTACTCTAACCCATTAAGGCTGGGCCTTAATTCAGCCTGGCTCTGCTTGTGTTTCATTACAGGTTCCCGCCAGTGTCCTGGCTGGCTTCAGGTCGCTTTAGGGGCTGGGAATCTCATCCTGTCTGTGATATTGCTGGCGGTGTGTGGTGAGTCACCAAAGGCTGTAGCCTTATCTGTCCGGGTGCGTCAGTCTGCAGCGTGGATGCGACACTGGGGGTGGGACGGCCAGTGACATTGAGAGGCCTCAAATTTAAAATTGATGCTCAGTCACAATTATCCTGTGGAACTCACTGCCACAGGATCTCACTGGGGCCATGAGCTTAGCAGGGCTCAGTGAAGGATCAGGACACATATAAGAGGAACGAGACCAACCAAAGGGCCAGGAAGTACCAAATACTTTGGCAGGGGCTATAAACCCTCCTACTTCAGGGCATCAATCAACCCCTAACTGATGGGCAGGATGGGTCTGACTTCGGGGGCAAGTTCTCATTGCCCACTAGGGGGTGTCTTGCCCCTTGCTCAGGAGTAGCTGGGGCTGTCCACCCTTGGAGATGGGATAGCAGGTTAGATGGGCCTCAAGCCTGCTTCAGTCTGGACATCCCCACGCAGCCAGTTCTGGGAGGTGTTTGAGGGTGAGAATGGGTGAAACACTGGCTGGGTTTGCAAAGAAGCCCAAGGGATTTAGGCACCTAATTCCCAGTGATTTTTCAATCCCGGACACTTTTTCAGACCGTGTCCCTTTGGGGCTTCTCCGAAGTCCATTGGAGTCAGTGGCGATGGGGCTAAACAGGGTTTGGGGCAGGCCCTGTGTCTCCACAGGGCTCTGGGCTGGCGCTTTTATTAGCAAGCCCCCATCACATTGACCAGTCGCCCTCACGCCCACCGACGCTGCTTTGCAGTTTCCCACTTGATGTCTGAGAAGGGACCGACCCCGGCAGCCCCAGGGACCGACGGAGCCGGGAGCAGAGACCCCAGCACAGCAGAATGCAGCGCCTGCCTGGAGCGTTTCCGATCCCAGTTGGGCCACCCGGCCCAGCCTGGCCCAGACCTGGGTTCTGTTCCCACAGCTTCTGGGCGACCTTGCCCAAGGCACTTTGCCTTTGTGTTTCTCTTCCCTCCCCAGCCTGTGATTTGCCTTGTCTAGTTACGGGGAGGTTTTCAGATGCCCTGAAGGAATTTAGGACACCACTTTCCTACTGACATTAAATATCCTCCATTCGGCTGCAACCCGCGCTTAGCTCTAGCATCAATTCCTGACTCTGCCATAGACTCCCTGTGTGACTGTGGGAAAGTGCGCTGGGCCTCAGTTTCCCCATCTATAAAATGGAGATTGTACCTCCTTCGTCTAAGTAGATTGCAAGTGCTTTGAGGCAGGGCCTGTCTCTCGCTGTGTGTCTGTGCAGCGCCCGGCACAACGGGGCCTGAGCTCAGCTGGGGCAGGGCCTGTCTCTTGCTGTGTGTCTGTGCAGCGCCCAGCACAACGGGGCCCTGATCTCAGCTGGGGCAGGGCCTGTCTCTCGCTGTGTGTCTGTGCACAGCTGGGCTTCTAGGTTCCACAGCACTAGATATAATAACAATAACGGAGGCTGGTCCAAGGGCCTACGGCCTATTTGCAGCCTAGAATGTGTCTGTGCTGAGCTGTAGGGAACAAGTTGGGCTCTGGGCAGAAGATGCCGTTCACTGCTCTGTCCCTGTTTGTAACTTTGTTTACTTGGGCGGCAGGGGAGACTCTGATGTTTCTCTTTGTGGTGTAGGAGAGGAAGTAAAATGAGGACAGGAGCTGTGTCTGGGCAGTGAGGGGACGATTCAACTTCAAAGGGCATCTAAGTCAGTGGAAAGTTTTATTAACACTGCACTAGATGCCCAGCTGAGATCAGGCCCCATTGTGCCGGGCGCTGCACAGACACACAGCGAGAGACAGTCCCTGCCCCAGCTGAGATCAGGGGCCCGTTGTGCCGCGCGCTGCACAGACAACTGTCCTCAACACGTAATAGTGAGGAAATGTAGCTGGTGGATAAATGGAGAAAGGACGTCCCCAGAATGTGGCTGGGAATGTTTCCCCCTGAATGTCATGTTCCCATCGCCAGGCTGACATGTCAGACGGAGCTGGCTGTTCGCAGCGGGATGGGGGACTGGGCGGGAGCTCACAGGTATCCCGAGGGGAAGGCTGCCCACTGGTTTTGGTGCTAATCTGGGATGCAAGAGCTCTGGGACCAGTTCCTGGTTCTGCCACTGATTCCCCGAGTGACCCTGGGCTGGTCCCTTAAGGCTGGAATTCCACAGGGGTTTAGGTATCTAACAATGCATCTAGGCGCCTAAAACCAACCCACTAGGTGCCTAAAGCCTATTGAAGTCAATGGGAATTGGGATCCTAGGGCCCAGGTTCTCAAATGTATTTAGGTGCCCAACACCCAAGGGAGTTAGGCACCTAAATCCTGTTGAGGATCTGGGCCTAGGTGCTTCTGAAAACCCCACTCATGGCCTCTCTGCAGCTTTAAGTATCTAAACCCCTTGAATAACAGGGGTTAACAGCCCTGTGCCCTGCCCCACAGAGTGGGGTTGGGAGGAGAATCTAGCAAAGACTCTGAGGTTCTGATACTGCTTTGAAGGGGGCTGGATAACTTAGATGCAAAGATGAGCTGGTTTTGCAAAGAGGCCCAAGGGGTTTAGGCACCCAACTGCCACTGATTTTCAATCCCAAGCTGCTCTTTTGGACTGTGGCCCTTTAGGGCTGTTCTGAAGCCCACGGGAGTCAGTGGCGATGGGGCTGAACGGGCTTTGGGCCAGGCCCTGTGTCTCTGCCGGTGCTTTTACCCAGCAACTCCCCGTCACATTGACCCGTCACCTCACTCCCACCGACGCTGCTTTGCAGTTTCCCACTTCATGTCCGAGAAGGGACAGAGCCCGGCAGCTCCTGGGAGCGACGGAGCCGGGAGCAGAGATACAGCGACACCCCCTGGGAGCGAAGACACCTGCACGGCAGAATGCAGCGCCTGCCTGGAGCGTTTCCGATCCCAGCTAAGCCAACGTCTTTGCCACCCGGCCCCGCCCGGCCCAGCAGGTAACCCCAGCTCGTGTGTCTCTGAGCCGCCCTCTGCCCCGGGCACGGCCAGTGGGAACCCAGCTGCCGTTCCAGCCCCTGGGGATCCTGCAGGGCAGGGACACGCCGCCCCCTGCTGGCTGCACCGATCTAGCCACCAGCCCCGCTCGGTGCCAGGCCATGAATGTACCTGCCTCAACTGGGACTGGGTGTGGGTGCTCTGCTGAGACTGGGTGAGGCAGCGACATCTAGTGGCCATACCCGGTACTGCTCAAGGGGGGGGGTCTTAAAATAATCTAATACCAGGGTTGCCAAATGTTTGCAGAGCAGGGACAGATCCCAGCAGAAAGACTGTCTCCTGGACTCACCCCCTCCCATTCCCAGCCATCTCTGGGATCCCACCTCCTCTCCTGTTCTCCCCAGTTACCACCTCCCCTCCCATATCCTGTTAGATTTCCACTAACCAGCCCCCAACACATCTTCAGTTGGCCGAAACCCCTTCTAGGCCACTCTGCAGAATAATGTAGCCTTAAAATGGACGCAAATAGCCCCATGAGATCCCCTCTGCCCTGGAGACCTCCCTGCCTGTGTGGAGCTGGGGTAAGAGCCCCTCACACACCCTGTTCCCAACCCCCAAAGTAGGGAGCAGATTGGCGTGTGTGGCTAGAGTGCAGTGCACTATGGGTAGTCTCTTCTGCCCAGGGCCCAGATGGGAGCAATGGATAAGGCAGAGCAGCCCCGAGGCTGCTGTAACCGACACCAGGAGCCAAGCAGGGCCCGGCCTAGCCCCACATTTCAGGGAGCACAAAGGGGACTCAAACCCATTTTACCCCCATTCCTGCCCCAGTCTCAGGAAGGGAGTAGCCGGGAATGAGGCCCAGAGCGCTCAGAGCATTAATGACGCCTGTCTCTCTGCAGGGGGCTCTGGGTGCAAACTCTGCCCCACGGACTGGCGGCTGCGTGGGGACAAGTGCTACTGGGTCGGCGGAGGAAGTAAAACGTGGAGCGAAAGCCGCGCCAACTGCTCAGCGAGGGGCTCCCAGCTGCTGGTGATCCGGGACCAGGAGGAGCTGGTAAAGGGGACAGTAACATCCTCCTGGAGCTGCCCCGGCAGGGCTGGGCCCTGGGTACAGAGTCCGAGGGCGCATAGGCTATATGGTAGCTCTAGGATTGTCAATGCTGCCTAAAGGACTTGGACACCTCATTCCCATTAATTGTTAATAACAGGGTGTCCAAATCTCCTAGGTAGCTTTGACAAATCTCAGCCTAAATCACCAGCCCTGAGAACATGGACACACAATGGTGGCTTAAAGCTACCGGTACCCTCCTCGTTCTGGGATGTGACCACCACAAGTCAGCTGGAGAGAGGGGCTGTGTGTGTGTGTGTGAGAGAGAGAGAGAGAGAGAGGTATGAGGACTGAGGGCTACAGAGAGAGGGGGTAGGTGTGGGGATGGATGGACAGAAGAGTATAGATGGGGAATAGTTGGATAGATAGACAGGTATGTGTGGGGATGGATAGGTGTGTATAGGGATAGATGAACAGCCAGACAGTAGTTCTGGTGCTAATGTTGTTGGGAACTTAGATTTGCAAGAAAAGAACCGACAGCACGTCTGGTCACCAGCTGCCTGTCCCACACTCCCTGCAGGAGTCCCTACAGGACCTGACAGGAGGCACGTCTCAGTTCTGGATTGGATTGTCCCGGCCCTCCCCGGAGAAGGCCTGGACCTGGCTGGACGGCTCCCGGCTGGATCAGACCCTGTGGTGATTCCTTGAGTCAAACCCTTTCCCTTCCCTCCGTGGGCAGAAGAGGCCGGGAACAGTGATGGGGGAGGGGATGTTTGGGGGAAGGTCAGGAGTTTGGGGGAAGTCATTTTCAGTGTAAGGTGATGACAAAGACACCCTCTTCTCCCTGCCCTTCTCCCCCAGAGAGGAGGTGAAGTTGGAGCCCTGGGGGCGGGGAAGGTGGCCCAGAGTCGGGATGTGGAATGAGAAGAGCAAAGGGGCCAGGCCAGAGCCCTGGGGATCCCTTGGAAAGTGGGGCAGGAGATGGGGGGAAGACACAGAGCAGCCAGAGAGGCAGGAGGGGACCAGGAGGGGGCAGCATCGGCCCAGCCCAGTGGGGAGGAGACGCGGAGCAGGGGAGGGAGATGGACAGGGTCTAGCCCAGCAGAGAGGACGAGGCTGGAGCAGGTCCCTGGGCTCTGGGCAGGGAGAGGCCGTTCGAGACCCTGGCCAGGGCCCTGACAGTAGGGAGAGGGGGCAGCCCCAGGGCAGAGCTGGAGGAGACGACGGCTGCGGATCCTGTTAGAACAGGGAAGAGCCGCTACCGACTGCGTGTGATGGACCCACACGCACTGACAGGGGCCCTCTCCTTTGTCCCGCAGGTTCCCGGTGTCAGGCCCGGCTGAGGGGAACAGCTGTGGAGCGGTGGAGGGGAATCGGATTCATTCTGACACCTGCAGCTCTGGATTTCAGTGGATTTGCCAGCAAGACGCCGTCCCGCTCTGAACAGGGTACGGGGGAGATCTCAGAGCGCGGCACTGTTACCCCCATTTCACATGTGGGGAAACAGAGCCACAGACACTGACCTGCCCAAATTACACTGAGAATTAGTGGCAAAGTGGGAAATGGAACCTAGGAGTCCTGGCTCCCAACCCAGTAGCCCCTCCCTCTTGCCCAGAGCTGGGAATAGAACCCAGGAGTCCTGGCTTCCAGTCCTACCTCAGCCTATAGAACAGCAATTCCAAGCTCTGGCTTCGCATATTCCAGCAGGGGCTGGAGAGCGCTGCGGGGGCCGGGCTTGGGCCATAGGTATCAGGCTCTGCACAGCCAGGGGGAAATTTATCCCTCACCCCCCCAGGACTGGGAGAGAAGAGTCTGCCCCAGGTCACGTAACTCAGCACAGATTCGGTGTCCAATGGAGCAGAACTGATCAACACCAGCTGGGGATCTGGGCTTTCCCCTGTATTTCACCCCCGATTAATTTCCTTTCACCTCTTGGACAGGTTCCGCTGTCAGCTCCCTTCCCTGGCCCGTCCACTGCTCCCGTCCAGCCTGTGACCTGATGCATTTCTGCCCATCCTGCCCTAACGGATCGTTAACTCCTGTCACTAACGAGGGGATCTCAGCTTCAGAGGTGTCTGTGTGGATGTGCTGTCCGCTTGCTACCTCCTTAGAGCACTTTAAGGAGATCAATGTCCCCAACCCCAATCCCAAATGGAAACTTTCCCTGTGCATTATTTGACGCTCTCTGGGGTCGGTGTCTCTGTCGGAGGAGCCGGGTTGGGGTGCTCCGTGGCAGTGAGTGGGGAACTGCGGGGAGGGCTGGGGGCTAGCGAACGCCCTGTTACCCAGTGGCCCGGCAGCCCAGGAGGAGATGGACTGGCGAAGCTGGAGGGCGGGCGGCTGGCCAGGCTGAGAAGCGACCTTCCAAACAGACCCAAGTGTCTTTAGGAGCCGCCCCTGAGACAACTGGGCTTGTGAGTGCAACAGGACAGAGCGTGTCCCGTCTGTGGGAGAAACAGGGCTGGCAAGCACTGGCCCGGTCATGGTTTGGTCGTGGGGCTGGACAATGCAACATGCTGAAGGTGCTGTCACAAGGGGAGGACAGAGTGGCCCCAACCAGAGCCCCAGCATCTCTACTGCAGTGAACAGCTCCTCCGCTCGAGCCCCAGTTAGGTGGCATGAGCCAGGCGCAGGTGTCCATCTGCCGTGTAACCAGAGCCTTTGGGCTTCACTTTCCCCAGCTGTGAAATGGGGGTATTGATATCGACCTTCCTGTGTGAAGCACTTTGAGATCTACAGATGCAAAGCTCAAGATCGGAGCCAGGGATCATCATGATCGTGGGGACATTAAAGGTTTCTGTTAAACCGTGCGGAAGCTGAGTGTGTTTGTTGATGGGTCACAGAGCAGCTAAACCCCGGCTTTGACATGTTATGTGACTTTAGACAAGTCACTTGCCCAATCTGTGCCTCAGTTTCCTCTCTCACCTTTTGTCTGTCCTGTCAGATGGTGAAGGAACCACAATATAGTCCTGATCTCAGCTGAGGACAGGGACTGTCTCTCCCTGTGTGTCTGTGCAGCGCCCGGCACAACGGGGCCCTGATCTCAGCTGGGGCAGGGACTGTCTCTCCCTGTGTGTCTGTGCAGCGCCCGGCACAACAGGCCCCTGATCTCAGTTGGAGCCTCTAACTGTTGACGTCATACCTGATGCTTAGCATGGTGGTGAGGGTACGTGTGTAGCAGTTTGTCTATCAGAAATGGTTCCTGGGGATTGTGTATGGCCAGAAAGAGACCAGCCCGGCTGTTTGATATCACACACACACACACACACTCTCTCTCTCTCTCTCTCCACTGTGCTCATGACAGACACGTTCCTTCCCCGGGAGGAGACATCAGGCTGAGCCCTGCCCATTATTGGGAGAGTCCAGGGAAAAGCCCTTCCCCTAGTGAGTGGCGAGCCCTCCCCCAGAGCACATCCCCGCTTGGCAGGCAGAGGGAAGGTGAGGAGGATCGGGCAGAAAAAGGAGAGAGACACACACTGTCCTCGGTTCATTAGTCCTTGGTGGGAGGGGCGCTCACAGCCCTGGTGGGAGGATGCAGCTGCTGCCTCAGTTTCCCTGCTGGGGTGGGAGGAGCCATTCACAGGAGGATTTAAGGGTTTCAAAATAAAAGTTTCTCGGCTGGGAGCTGGTTAATTTTTTTATATAAATAATTTTATTATATTATAAAAAATAATTTTCTCTATATCTACACCTGTCTATCCCAGCACGTCCCTGCCATCCCCTCCTGTCCGCGACTTCTCTTCACGCTCCCCCAGCGCTCAGCAGGGCCTGCAACCAGCCCTTTTCGCCTTACAGCAGGAGTTCGAGTCCTTCCCCCAGGCTGCAGGGTTCACCCCGGCCCCTTCACTCCGTGGCTGCAGGGGCCACAGCACCTCCCGACGGCCCCTGGCACATCCCTGGTGTCTAGCCCCAGCCCTTCTCCGGCTCCTGCCCGGGGTCTCTGACAGGAGGGACCCTGCGGATTTGGCTGCTCCCCTTCTGGTTTCCAAGTCAGAAGGTTCCTGTCTCTGTGCGAGAGACAGAGCCTGGGTTTTATACCCGTTTCCTCTCCCAGCAGGCCTGGCTGCCGCCTGTCACACCCTGCTGCTTGTGAAGTACAAACAACTGCCATGTCCTATCTTATGGCTACTGTATGTTCCCTCTGTCCGCTTGTTGGGGTGCTGCTGTCTGGTTACGAGGGGTTCACTCAGGCCGGGGGTAGCTGCATGTTGGCCGGAGAAGGAACACTGATGAGGACGCAGTGGCCAAGTAAACACAGGCCCATGGGTGGATTTTAAGTGCCAGGCTCCAAATGTTATAAAACCTACAAGGGGCTGCCCTCAGCCTGGGAGGGCCACGGAGTCTCACCCCATCCCGTGAGCCCAAGGCCCATCAGCAAAATCCCAGGTCTTTTCCCTGTGGGAACCAGTCACTTGATCCCTTTAACCGCACTGGACACAGGTTGTAATGAATGAAGAACTCGAGGACAACAAGGAGTCTGGTGGCACCTTAAAGACTAACAGATTTATTTAGCTTATGCCCAAATAAATCTGTTAGTCTTTAAGGTGCCACCAGACTCCTTGTTGTTTTTGTAGATACAGACTAACACGGCTATCCCCTGATACTTGAACTCGAGGACATAACTCAGCCCTTACTACGGCTTGAAGGGGCTGCGAGGAAGCTGAAGCCACTCCCTGGGCCTCACTAAATGGTCACATAGGAGAAAAAATTCCTGCCCGACCCCCAGTGGGGTAGACCTGAAGCATCCAACAGACCAGGTTCCCACTCCCGATTCAGGGTGGGTAGGGTGGGATTGCTGGAAAGGAGCCAAAGGAGACACCACGTTATGTGGCCCCAGGTTAAATCCCCCCAAATGGGCCAATGGGCGCTAGGGACGGCCCCGTTAAAGGACCAACGCCTGCTGCATCCAGGGTACAGACACTTTGCTCGGCCTTCTGGTTTCTCCACTGCTTTGCTACAGATCCAGAGTCCCTTCCTGGAGCAGCCTGAACTGGCAATATCCTTGTGGTTCAGAAAAGCACATGGTCCTTCTCCCGCTATTGGAAACCTGCAACAGCAACAAATAATAATAAAAACCCGACACAACTGTTAGAGCAACTTCTAGTAGCAGTGAAAATCCAGCCCCGAGCGATTCACCCCAGGTCACAGGGCAAATCTACGGGAGAGCCAGGCACTGCGCCCCAACTTCTCAAATCAGAGCCCCGGGCGGTAACCACAAGGCCAGTGTCCTGTTTGAAATGAAAACTGCAACGTTTACTGAGTTAATAGAAGCAAAAGGGACCCACCAGTTGTTGAATGTGGGGCCATTGGCTGGTCCAGTTCCCTCCGGAGGCGGCTCCAGTGGTCAGAGGGACCTTTATAGCGCATCAGGAAATCCTTAGTTAAAAAAATTAAAGCAAATACACATTACACACCATCTCTGGGCTCTCTACTACCTGCACAGGGCGCTGGGCAGGTGGTGCAGGCTGGGAATTCTACCCCAAGAAATGACATCCCCAACCCAGTGACAAGTTTGCACGTGACAACTTCTTGACCTGAATCAGGATAGAAAAATGTCAAAATAGCAGAATTTCCAATCTGATGGAAATTGTGATTTTCAACCGACTCTATTATTTAGCAGCTTCTGGTTCTGATTCTCAGCCGCATTCCAGACCTAGAGCACTCCGGCATTCTGACCAACTCCACAATGTTATTGAGAGTCTCATGCTATCTGGTGTTTTTCTTAATGCCCCAGCTCCTGGAGTCAGGTGATTACAACAGACTCTCGTCTTTCATAAGATTCTAGCCCTCATGGTTGCTGAGAAAAAACTTGTCAATGTGACCGCCTAAAAGCTATGACCCCAGAAAACATGTTAAACATCCTCACAGTTGTTATTTTAAAGTCAGTCTCATGGCTTTGGGGATCCCGCCTCATGATTTTTGAACACTTGGGTTGGCAATGCTGCTCCTGTCCCATTAAAGGGACTGGAAAGTAACTGGATTCCCCTGCTGGGAATTCCCCTGGAGCAAAGGGTCAGCATATTAGCCCCACACTGCTCTGACTCAACCCCCAGTGACCGGGGAGGATGGAGAGTGGGTGGAGCGCTCTGTACTCTGGTTATTCTGGGATGTGAGAAGTTGCCTTAAATTCAAGCAGCGTCTGGGGCCCTGCCAGCCCCAGGGCAAAGCCAGCATAAAGCCGCCTTTGCCACTCTGTGCAGCCCAGAATCTGGGTCTCACCATTTCCTGCTAAGCGTCAATCGGAGGCACCGGGTCTCTAACTGCTGATGTCAAACAAATAATCTTTGTATCTTCCTGAAGCTCAGCACGGTGGTTAGGGTGCGTGTGGAACTGTTCACACGTTGTCCAGTCAGGAATTGTTCCTGGGGGTTGTGCCTGGCCAGGAAGAGAACAGCCCGGCTCTGTGATCTCTCACCCCCACACTGCAATGGGCTCGTTCTTCCCCAGGGCAGAGACATCAGTGCGGAGCCCGGCGCTTTATGGGCCTCTGACAGCAGGCTACCTGCTCCGACACCGCGCTGTGCCCTGGAAGCGGCCAGCAGCAGGTCCGGCTTCTAGGCACGGGGGCCACACTGCTCCCCGCGCTGCCTCCGCCCCGAGCGCCGGCTCCGCACTCCCATTTCAGGGGGCGGTGGCTGCAGACGAGAGCACCGCCTTGGAGTCAGTGGGGCAGGTCCTAGGCAGAGGGCCCCAGCCGCAGGGAGTCTGACGTGGGGGTCTCTCCCCAGCCACTTCCCCACCCGGCTCAGCACGATCCCAGCCAGAGCCGCGTGCTGGAGCCGTGGGGACCGGCGCAGAACTGGGGGAGACGCTGCGGGACAGGAGCGTCGGGGGCAGAAATTTCACGGGCAACGTCGGGGCCTGATTCTGCCCTTAGGGGGCCAGATCCTCAGCTGGTGTAAATCAGCCCAGTGCCCAGTCCCGTCAGCTGGAGCACAGAGCGGTGACACCACTGGAGCTACGGCCAGTTCCCCCCAGCTGGGATCTGCCCCATTGACCCCAATGGAGCCACGGTCAGTTCCCCCCAGCTGGGATCTGCCTCATTGACCCCAATGGAGCCACGGCCACCTCCCCCAGCTGG